GGACTTACTAAACAAAGACTTTAGGTCAGCTATTATAAATATATTCAAAACACAGTTGACCCTTGAAAAACATGGAAATTATGGGTGCTGACCCCTGCATATGTGCACATAACTTTTAACTCTGCCAAAACTACTAATACCCTACTGTTGACTGGAAGCCTTATGATAACAAACAGCCAATTAATATATTTTTTTGCATATTATATGTATTCTATACTGTATTTTTATAGTAAAGTAAGCTAGGGAAAAGAAAACATTTTTTCAAATTGTCACAAATTTCCAAAAATTTTTCCAAAATATTTATTGAAAAAAAATCTGTATATAAGTGGACCTGCATAGTTCAAACCTGTATTGTTCAAGGGTCAACTGTACTAAAAGAAAGCATGTCTCAAGAAACAGAGGAAGGTATGAGCACAAAGTCTCACCAAGTAGAGAATATCGATGAAGACAGAAATTAAAAAAATAAATAAAAGTTTTGAATTGAAAAGTACAGTAAATGAAATAAAAAATTCACCAGAGGGCTTCCACAACAGATTTGAGCTAGAAAATCATCAAACTTAAGGTCAATTAAAATTACTCAGTCTGAGAAGGAAAAAGAAAAATTAACAAAATGAAAAGAGCCTCAGAGATGTGTGGGACACCATGAAAGTGAACCAACTGTAGGCATTACGGGAATCCCAGATGGGAAAGAGAGGGAGAGTGGGGTAGAGAGAATATCTGAAGACACAATGGATAAAAACTCCCCAAATCTGATGAAAAATACTGATCTACACATCAAAGAAGCTCAACAAACTCCATGAAGGATAAATTTAGAGATCCACACTTAAGACACATCAGTCAAACTGCTAAAAACAAAACAGAGAATTTCAAAAGAGAATCTTAAAAGCAGCAAAAAAAAAAAAAGACTCATTGTGTACAAGGGATTCTGTTTTTTGTGAAAAACCACAGAAATCAAAAAGCAGTGGGGTGACATTCTCAATGACCTCAAAGAAGAGACTGTCAACCAATAACTATATATACAGCAAAACTACCCTTTAAAAACAAAGGAGAAATTAAGATATTCTCAGATGAACAAAAAATAATATAATTCATCACTAGTAGACTTGCCCTACCATAACTACTAAAGGGAATCCTTTAGGCTGAAAGGAAATGACACTAGATAGTAACTCAATCCATATAAAGAAATAAAGTACATAAGTAAATGTCACTACATAGGTAAATACAAAAGATAGTATAAATGTATTTTTGCTTTTAACTATATTATTCTATCTGATTAAAAGGACAAAAACATAAAACTTTGCTGATGGGCTTGTAATAATAAAGACATAATTTGTATGAAATAATAGCACAAAGGGGGGGAACAAAGTTTTGTTATACTATTAACATTAAGTTGGTATTAATCCAAATTATACTGTTTTAAGATGCCAACTATAATCCCCAGGGCAACTGCTAGGAAACTTACTTAAAAAATACAGCAAAATAACATGAGAATTAAGTAGACATTTTTCTAGTATGCCACATTAACACAAAAGAAGGCA